CTGCATCGAGCGATGCTCGATTCAACTTTTCTCTCTTTCCTATGCAGCTAGCTGCATCTATCATTGTATCTAGTGAATCTAGATGCATCGAGCGATGCTAGCTGCTTTTTTCGTGCTTGGGCTTATCAGAATACAAAGAGATAAAACGCTAAAGCATTGACTTGGTTACATAGATTAGAAATGTAAAACAGAAAAACATCTGAATATTCGATCTCTTCCATACCTTATCTGTGTGGCTGGATTTTTTCAAAAAGAACGCTTTTATTCGGAAGCATAACTCCATATATAAACTGTAAAAAATTATTTAATAGAGGATAAAAACTATTTGTTGCAATTGGATGCATCCACACAGCTTCTCTACCTTCATGCATCGACCTTGAACCACCATGCGCTCAGTTTGTAGTCCGTGTTGAGTTGTATACGAATCCATGTTTGTTTCCTCTACAGGCATGATGATGGAATAATTCTCAAAAAAATTTATCTGCTCTCTGACAAAGAAACTATATTTTTTATTGTAAAATTAGTGAGCATCGTGCACTTTAAATCACTAATTCGAAGTTATAACTTGGATTACTCGACACTGGCACATTTCGGTTACATGATGAACTTAGTTCACTTTTTCTTTTTTAATCTCATTTATTGATATGAAAATAGAAAATCCCAAAACTACAAGCCACAAAAGTGGATTGAGGATCCATACACATGTGGCCACAGTAAAAAAGAAAACAAACACTTGACTGCTACAGATTCGACTGCTATCCCATACTACTACAAGAGAAAAAATGAGAAAAAGAAGCGAAAAGAGAATTCACTTTCTGACGGTGTGCGACTTCTAAGTGTACTTGTTAATGTGAATTTTTTATTAAAATCGATCCTGTTTTTGTATCTGATTGTTGCCAGGAAGAAAATTGGGCTGTGTCTCGAACACCTGTTGGTTATTGACCACATATGTTTACTACAATAAAAAAATATTTCGTTGTCCAGATAGGCACTAACAAGGAAAACCTTTCTTCCTCTGTTCTGTTTCAATGTATTTTGCATAAGTGTGGCGACCAATCAGTTCTTTTCAGAACCGACTGCTTTCAGCTTTGTGTTCGGTTTGATTCGACAATTCGGTGGCTTTTCGATCTGTTGCATAACTTCTCCTGCTTCCAAAAAATCCCTCCTTCAAATCTCTCAGTTTATGTAACATTTCTATGTACAATTTATCTTGGAAATGACAATAGTATTTCAGGAAACATCAATTGATGATTAATAAATTGAATAATTGAATAAATAAGTACAAAATTCAAATCCGCTGCCGTTACATTTAATTTCTTACTTCGATTTCTGTCCTTGAATCAATTCAATGTTTATAACATAAGTTTTTGTATTTGTAGACGTAAAAAAACATTACCAGATTCGATTGTAAATGAATTAAAAACGATATTAAAAAATTTTGAAATTGATATCAGTTCCTTACGACCAACTGTTCCAGACTGTTAAGAAAATAAGATCATTGCCATTTTTGTAATTTTTATTCA